GGCAAGGGCTGCTCACCTGCGGAAGGACACAGCGTGTCACCTGCTTCCTTCTGAGACTGGATTAGATGATCGCAAAAATACTTTTCAGCCCCGATGTCCGGTGATTCTAGGAAAAAAACGCTCAGTTCACTTTCATTTAGACTGGCCTTATGTTTCTCCTGGTGCTAGTTTGTAATGAGCTTCTTATGGAAAATAACGGTGTAGGTAAATGGGTTTAATGCCCATTACTCCTGAGACCACTTTGAACTGAAACGGAAGAAGAAATAAATATAAACATCAAAGACAAGAGTGGTATGGGCCGCAGGGAGGCTATGGAGGCAGGAGCGGCCTCAGTGCCTCTCTGTCCAGAAAGCAGGTGGGTTCTGGACAACAAGGGAGGACAAGAAACACTTTGTGGGGTTCCTCAAAGCTATGCTGTGTCTGCCCACAAGACAGCAGACTGGCTCCCGGCTCAGAGGTGAAAAGAGAAGTCAAAAGAGGAGGATTTATTGAAACGATGTATTTCTAACAATGGCACCAACAGCAAGAAATTTTACTCTTTCTCTTTCTAGACAGCATAGATGCTTGGATTTAGTTCCTTTCCCAGCCATAGGCAAAACACACAGTGCTTAGGCTGTGGTCATTATCCTTAGGGAAAACACCAAATAATTAGACTTCAGGAACAGTTAATGAAGGATTTTAGAAACAGCAAAAATAGTCAACTGTGGAAGTTGAGGTGGTTGAAGAAACCCTCCTTCGGGAATACAGATCAGAAAAAGTCTGCCCGAGCACTTTCCTCACACACCCTACAGGAAGTGGGCAGTCCCTTCATTAGCGTTTGTCCTCCTCACAAGGGGCAGGGTGGACAAAAAGGGATTATCACAGTGCCTGTCTGGGGCAAACACCAACAGGAAAGGATAGAAACAAAGGTATAGAGGAATGGCTTCAAGGGACAGGGAGAGGGAGCAAGCCTGGACAGGGGTCTCCCGGACTGCACTTGTGACCAGATTGGGTGTGGTTGGGCCCCAGAGCTCCGGTCTGCAGTGCAAAAGTCTGAATGGTGCTGATGGAGAACCACAGAGCCAGGGTGCCCTGAGGTCAGCAGACAAGTTCCAGCCCTTTGTCTGCACTGTGTGTATTCACTGACAGGTAGCAGCCAGGCAACAGTGTTCTCGTAGAGGTTGAAGAGGGCAGCACATGGAGGGTGTCAGACACTTCCCACAGAAGACCAGGGGAAAGCTCCTGAATGCGGCCGCAGAAGTGGTCTTGAAATCCAACTTGCGGTGAGTTGCATCTGCCCTGTTGTGTAGCAGAGGAAGATTCCTCTCTGCCTTTGCTTCAGTTGCTACCAGCCCTGAGGTGTACAGCATATTCTGCTTTAGTATTTGCTGAATATAAAAGTATTTTCTTTACCTACTTCCAATGTTGGCAGATTTTATTTTTAATCAAATTTCCTTCAAACACCAATATCTCTCAGATCATATATATATATATATATATGTAATTTATATGTAATTATATGTATTACATTTATATATATGTAATATATATGTAATTATATGTATTACATTTATATGTAATATATGTGTATCTTCAACCAGAAGTTATAGTTGATTCAACAAAACAAGAAAAGGATATAAAAGGTACATATATTTGGAAGGAATCACTAAAATGTCTGTATTCACAAATAACATGTCTATGTAGAAAACCCCAAAGAATTAAGTAAAAAATGCTAAAAATAGTAAAGTACAACAAAATTGTAAGATGCAAAAGCAGAATGGCTTTCCTAGATGTTATCAATAAATAAACAAAAGATGTTAAATGAAAACCACAACATCATTTTACAAATAACACCCAAATAATCAAAGTCTCAGGTATAAATCTAACAAAGGTATGTAGGGTCTCTCCACAGAAAAACATAGAGCATTGATGAAAGAAATTAAAGAGTTTTAGAAGTGGAAAGTTAAAACACAAACTTGGGGCATTTTAACATTTTAAAAAATGTAGTAGGGCGGGCAGGAATTGTGAACGTGTTGCTTCAGACCTGTTGTTTTCCACCAAAGCGGCTCATGGGGAAGGTTTTCCCGGGAGGCCTGGGTGGGAGGCACAGACGGTACTGGAGTAGGTGAGGTGGAGTAGGTGCCTTCCTGCGGCAGCCCAGCGGTGGCCCAGTTCCAATGAGCTGGCAGGCCCTGCCTCCTGCTCTACTGCAGCATTTATTTCCATGCAGTTTTCTTGGCTTACGTGGGAATGCAGGACACTGAAGCTTACTCAGTCCTACGGCTCTTTATTTAGTTCCTTGAGCAAAACTCAGACATCAGTGGCACTCTCTGTCACCTGTCGGGATGGTTTGTCTTTTGTATCAGGAAAGAGACTCAGAAATCACAACATCAGGTGCACTGAAAAAAAAAAATCAATAAACTAGCCTTTACTTTTCATCATGTTCGTGTTGTGCTAACGACAGTGAGACCACTTGCTATGCTGGGCATGGCTGTAAAGATGCACTGAGCCCTTGAGAAAGGAGTATTCACACTGTGGTGAGGAGCGTGCATTTGCGCGATGACTCTCAGAGTAGTCAGCAGCGATGGGTACCCAGAGTCACAATATCGGGGAGAACTTTAAGCCAAGGTCCTCATAAAGCAACTAACCAGAACCAAAGGGGTATTTCCACGGAAACAAAGTAAAACCAAAGCTTAAAGCCTGAGGCAAACTGTGAGCTCAGTCTGAGTCCAGAAGACAGTTAGACAGGAAAAGGCTCATGTTTCAGCCCAAAGCATTGCTAGCTGCAGGATGATGATGCTGTTGCAATCTGGTGATTTTCCTGGAGTGTCTCTGAGTGTCTTGGGCCTCACAGTTGGCCTCTTGACGGTCTCTCTGGGGGTCCTGCACATGACCAGTGTAGAGGGGACCGCTGGGGTTGCATCAGGTTATTCACTCCCAGAGTGCAAACCTGCAGGGACAGGGCAATTTCCTGGTAAATAACAAAACCTGATGAAAAACAAACAAACAAACAAAACCCGATGGAAGCACTGTGGTTTCATAATTTTTTCTATAATAGAAAGTTTAAACCAAATGCAGTCACATTAAGTCTACTCTTTCACAAAACTGTTTTAGTCTTATTAAACTTGTCCTGATTATTTACATAACAGCATTAAATGAATGATTATCATATAGGTCAGGGATGGTAAAACTTTTAGAGACCGAGTGCCCATCCAGCAGCCCCAAACCTACTTATTTGTTGCAAAGTGCAAAGTGCCAACCCCACCCATAGTTCACTCCCCTGGGGGGCGCTGTGGGCTGATGCTGGGGCTCATGAGCTGGCAGAGAGTCTCTGTGCATCACGGGTTCATCACCACTTTTTACAAGATAATTTTTCTGAAAAATTTAGTAAAGAATGAAAAGAAAAGAGAATGTAATAATTGTTACTGCCATCGAAGTGTCACTGATCCCCAGAAGGTCAAGAACATTGACCTGGAGGAATTGGGCAGGAAGTGAAGGGAGATTTCTAACTCAGCAAGGAAGCAGAGCTAGGGTTTAAGCGTAGGAAACTGGACAGGGAATCTTTACATAAACTGGGAAACTGTCTTGCTCTCTTCATACTGCTAGTAAAGCACTGCTCCACAGCCTCATTTGGGACAGTAAATATTTACACCTCGCAGCGTGGGGGCTGGAAGGTCGAAGGTGAAACAGAAGCAGGTATGGTCTCTGGCGAGGATCCCATTTCTGCTCCCAGGCAGAGCCTTCTTACTGTCTTCTCAGGGATGAAGGCTGGAGCTGTGTCTGCAGAGGGCAGAAGGAGCCAGGCTGCTCCTTTCACTCTCTTCTCCCAGAGGAAGGGACCACAGGTGGGTCCACAGGACTGGGCACCCCTGATACCCTGCACAGGGGATTAGAGTTCACCATGGACTCTGGAAAGACACATTCTGACCATACCAGAGACACCGAGCCTTGGAGTCTGAGGGTAACGCAGTGGCCAGTCCCCAGAAAATCAGTAGAAAGTGAGTCTGGAGAACAGGTGGCCCCCACTGGCGCTACTGAAAAACGTGTGGATGTTTATATTCCTGTGGCTACCCCCAAATTTAATCTGAAAGTTAGAAATGTGAGGCAATTCATTAGATAGACTTCACTGACCTCAATCAAAAGCATGGAATCAAGGAGAAGCTAGAGGAATTCATAGGAAAATGGATGCACATGGAGGCCATACTCTTAAGTGAAATACATAGGACACAAATGTGTTAATACCAAATAGCTTCTCTGGCGTGAAAAACTAAAAGTGCAAGTAAGATCCAAATTGTACAACTGACAGTGTGAAATAGGAAGAAAGGGGCTAAAAGTGTGGAGGAAGTGGGAAGGGTCGGGGAAAGGAAATGAGGGAAACATGAGAAAAGTAAAAAATGGAAACAAAGTCTTTGTAAATAGGGGAGGGTGGAGGGGGTGAAGGGAGGGCAGGGGTACGGGGAAAAAATGAGAACTAAGACCTGTCATATAAAGGTACATGATCCCAATGATGAATGTAACTGTACTGTGTACCTAAAAAGTACCAATAAACTCAAGGAAAACAAAACAAAATCATAGACACAAGATGATTAGAGTGGTGTGTGACACATGGAGTTCTTTCTAAGTAGAATATCTGTCATCTGTTATTGATGTAACTAGATAGATACCTATTCTGTGTTTTCTCCATCACACACACCCCTAACAAATAGGTTGAAGTCAACCGCCTGTGAGAAAACAGAAGTTTGCTTGTTTATAGTACTTTCTAGTCCTCCTTTATAGAGAAATTTAGCCATCTTCAGAGTAGTTATCTCATCAGAAAGTTGTAACAGAGTAAAGCAGGAGGGAAGGCTCCTCAGGTTACGAGAGACGTGCTTTCTGTTCTAGACAGAGCATGTGACAAACTGATAAAAAAAAGTCCTTGTTTTTTATTGATGCGTCTGGGTACAGCAGAGTTCAGGGCACAAAGCTGCACCAGGGTCACCCATGTCTCGTGGCAGCCTGAGTCCTCAGGCTTAGTTGTCCTTTTGATCTCACTCGCAGGTCTGGAGTTCTAGGCAGCATTTCAGCGACTTCTGGCAGAAAGCCACAAGCTCTTCATTCTTCTGACATGAACTCCTGCACTTGCCTTTGAGCTTCTTGCATTTGGCACCAAAAAATTCATTCCTGGCTACAGAAGGGAAAGAGCCAGCTGGTTATTCTTTTTCAAATGTGTTTGCTGACCAGCTTGTACAGTCAAACAATGTCAGTGAAGATTTTTTTTAACACACTACCATAGTGCCTAACCCTGTCATAGATGAGAGGCAGGAAATTTTTTTTCTGTGCTATTTCTACTTTGTTGTTGCTGTTACACAGCAAGAAATACTGTGAGGAACTAATTTTCTTCAAGCATTTTTAATTTGGCTGTGTAGAGCTGCAGGAAACATAGGCTACTATTCCATTATCCAAATATACTGGGGCTGCTAAACCTCCTGAAGTCATCAGCATAGGCAAGAACTTCCTGAACAGAACCCGGCTGCATAGGAAGTAGCACTGAGAATCAACAAATGGTCTCATATCAGATGTAGAAGCTTCTGCATGCCAAAAGAAACAACCAACAGAGTGAGAAGGAAATCTACAGAATGGGAAAAACTTACCCCCAACTATTCTGAAGAAAGACAACTAATATCTAGAATATATAAAGACCTGAAAAATTAGAACCCTCCCAATAAAAGACTCAATCAAAAAATGTGCAGGCCAGGTGTGGTGGCGCATGCCTGTAATCCCAGCACTCGGGAGGCTGAGACGGGAAGATTGCTATATGTTTGAGACCAGCCTGGGCCACATACTGAGTTCCAGGTCAGTCTCAACTACATAGTGAGACCCTGTCTCAAAAAGGGGGTGGGGGGCAAGTGAAATGAAAAGCTACTTCACAGAAGAAGTACAAACAGTGAACAAATACATGAAGAAATGTTCAACTGCACTGATCATCAAAGAAGCACAAATGAAAACAACACTGAGATGCCATCTCACCCCCGACAGAGTAGAAATCATCCAGAAATAAAATAATCACAAATCCTAGCAAATTACATGGAAAGAGAAAAACTTCTACAATGGCAATGTGCCCTAGCACAAAGACTACAAAAATCAGTGTGGAGACTCCCTAAAGCTAACACTAGACATTCCATTCGACCTAGCTACTCCCTTCTAGTTCTCTTCCCAACAGAGTCAGACATCACAGGACAGTGACGCATGTACACCCATGTGTGTAGGAGCACAATTCACCCCAGCTAAATCTTAGCCATGGCCTATATATGTCCACCAACAGATCCAGGGATAAAGAGAATGCGGTATTTATACACAATGGAGCACTATCCTGCCATAGAGAGAGATAAACATGAGGCATTAGTAGGAAAATGGATGCTCCTTGGGACAATACTGTTAAGTGAAATAAATCAGACACACTGGCTTAAATAGTTCATGCTTTGTCTTATACAAGAAACCCGAATTATAAATGAAGAGCAAAATGGATGACGTGGGCAGGGGGTGGATGAAGGCGGGGCAGGTGACAGGAAGAGGCGTGGAGATGTATCATGCACGTTCCGGCTCTGCACAGGGAATGTACTTTATCGTGAACTGCAAACATGTATTAATGAAAGAAAAAGTTCATGCAAATCGTCCAAAGCTTCCGCAACATACTTTGAAACATTGCTACTTGGTGAGAGTAGAGCATGAGCTGGGACTGGAAACAGGGCTGAGGAGCACAGGAATAAAGGATAATAAGACAGAAGCACTTGCTGTAGTGGACAAGAAGTGGAGAGGCTGCGTTAGCACCCTGGCTGGAGAAGGTGGGCTCTGCGGGACAGCGCAGCGAGGATGTTGACGTCTCCCTGAAAGTCTTCTCCATAATTTTGCTTAGAATCCTAGTTCTGGCTTTAACTCCTTATCGGTACCAACCATAGGATGAAGCCTACTTAAGGACAGACAGCACGTCAAGATCACCATTTCAGAGTAGCCCAATTGAGGTGCACGCAACTGAGGAACCATGTACAGAGGGCTTGCATTTAATGTCAATATATACAGTACATAATGCACATTTATGTGAAATTTGCAGCCAGATAGGTGAGTACCATCTACGCGGTATTATCTAGCATCAGCACACTTGTTCAAAGTCTACATCCCTGATTAGGGAAAGTCCAGAGAACTCAGGCTCCCACTGAGTGGCCTGTGCTTCTCTGTCCCCTTGATACTATAAGTCCTTTCATTATGTATGTGAAACAGTGTCTCCCTGCTTTGCCCTGCTGAGCTGGAACTTGTGATCCTTCTGCCTCCAAGACTGCTGGGATTTCAGACATGCACCACCACATCTGACCCATAATCATATTTTAAAAGATCCACCTTTTATATTTAAAAATTTCCTCTGTTTTAATTCACTGCCTGCTTTCTTGTTGTGCTGTCTTCAGTGAGCAGGAGACCAGGCCACACCTGGCATCTTTCGTGGCGTTCCTTCATTTGTTCAAACCTGTGACGATCTTTCCTCGATAATAATGGAAAATGCAAAGCATTTAGGAAGATGCATTGCAGAGAAGTGCCCTTGTTCAGCAAATGTTCCCCTCCAGGACCACTAGACCAAGGGTCCCCGACCTTCGGGGGTTCACCAGGCCCACACATTCACTGGGGGAGACCCTCTGTCTGCACTGCTGCTACTTCTGGTTGCCTTCTGTACACGGAGTTTCATTTTACCTGGGGCCAGAGAGAAAAGCACGGCACAGATCAAGAGGAATGTCTTCATGACTCGGAGCGTCCTGGGAGATCAGCGCAATGTCCATGAGAGAGGGACGGCCAAGGGGCAAATTTATCCACTTCTGCAGACCGAATGGCATTTGATCAGTGAGGCTTGGCAGGAACGACTTTCCCACGCTCTGCTCTGTGGAGCTCACAAACTTCAGTGGGTGTCAATCTGCAGCTCGTACTTTTCTAATTCTGGAAAGCTTCCGAGAGAGGGGAAAATGGGGATGATGAGGCAAGAGAGTAGGGATAGGATGTGCATGACTGTGGCAGAAAAATCAAGTATCTGGAGCCTGGAGGTGTGTGTTTCTAGTGCTGACTCTTCCTCAGTGGCTTTGTATACTTGTGTGTAGCAGGAAGGTAATTACACAGCACAGCACGGCTTCAGGGAACAGCTGGTGCACCACGGTCAGACGAGTCTGGATTGCAGATTGAACTGTAAAAGCTGGGTGCACTTGGCAAAGGGATTGGCCCAAGAACCTACTCCGTTATTGTTAAGAAAAGGTGGGCCTTGCTGTATGCTGCCTGCTTTCAGTGTTATGCGCAGTCCCATTTAGTCTCAGATGGTTTTGAGCTTATTGGAGATGGACAAAGATTGTGTGTGTGTGTGTGTGTGTGTGTGAGACAGAGTAGTAGTAGTAGTAGTAGTATAGTAGCAGCAGTAGTAGTAGTAATAGTAGTAGTAGCATTTTCACTGTTAAAACGTGTATTAAAAATCCAAATATCCTTAAAATTCCTGGACAAAAACATTGCCTTTAACATGTGAGGTCATTCTCCATGAAGAAAAGCACTGCTGGTGTTCCAGGCTCCCCTACCAGCTCCTTCAAGTCCCTTTACTACTTTGGGAATAAAGTTACCATATCAGGTATGTGGGGGCAAAGAAAGGCTTAAATCACCCACTTTTAACCTCCTCCTTTGTGAGCCAGAGACTGATACCTATTCCTTTTAAAGCACTTTGAAATTAGAGAGAAAAGAAATCTCCCTCATCACTCCACTCTTAAAAGTTGAGGTCTTAGGAGCATTTACTAAAACACAAAGCCCCCCAAAACAGCAAAACATTGTTGTGGTACTGAAACCCTGGTTTTCCTACGCAATCCAGATGAGGTCATAGGTTTATGGATTCACGTCCCAGTGATATCAAGGATTGAATAAGGAAGCACATCCCAAACCCAAGTTCAGTCCTGTGAACACACAGTTAAGCCTGAATTCCTATTTTAACTAGTAGTAACGTACCATGTTGGTTTCCTGATGGTGAAGAAGGTTCATTGGTCACAAAAGTTGTCAACACTGTAGATACCTTGGGGAAGGGTGTGAGAAAACTCCGTATAATCTTTCTAACTTATCTGTAAATCTAAAATAATTACAGGATAATTTTTATCAAAAGAAAGTATTAGAGAGTATCCCAGTATATCCCTTGTCTCCATACATTTTGTTAGTTTTCTGTGCATATTGATTATAGATTATGAATAACCCAGTGAAGAATGATAGACTTCATCTATTCCTTTCCAAACCTTACTTAGAAGAGTTAAATGCACAAGAAAAGATTCACTTCCTAACATTTCCAGTTATTCACCTCATTTGTTTTACTAGCTCACCTAGGGTTTTTGTTGTTGTTTGTTTTGTTTTGTTTGTTTGCAGAGTGACTATAATTGCCAACAAACTGAGATTGCAAGCATAGGACACTTTTAATTGGGCCCTGTGGAAAAAAATCAATGTTCATGAGGCAATGGAAAAGCCACTTAATGTTCCTGGTCTCACAGGGCTGCTTCTTCAGTCTTGGACTCTGTAACATCTTGCCTGAGTTCTCACAAATAGACAGCAGCTCTGCTGAGGAAGGTGTGGCTTCTTGAACTGCTCAGAGAGGCGTATCCTGCTCACACTGCCAAGGCAGCAGAGCCATTTGACTGAGAGGAATCTGTGCAGTAGTGCTGGGCTCCAAACCACAGGAGCTCATCAAGAAGCGGGCAGGAGAAAGGGACAGTAGCACGTTGGGCTTTAGTGCACCAGGACCTACCAAACTTTCACGAGAGGGGTTGCCCTTCCCAGGAGACTGTGCAGTGAAGCCACCATGAAGCAGACGAGGCCACAGCAACTCCCAAGGGGGAGGCCAGTCACAGGGCTCGGGCATGTAGATGCTGTTGCTGCACAGCAAGGTGGGGACTCTGGGTGAGACTGCCCCACAGGGAACCAGTGGCTTGGTGTCTTGAGGCTGCAGGGCTTGTCTAACATAGGGGTAGAGACCACTGGGTGCACCGTGCCATAGCAATTTTCTTTGCTATGCATTGTCATAGTGTCTTGGGCACAGGGGCCCCCAAGAGGCAAGTGCCGCACTGGGGACACCAAACTTGTCTCTCCCCTGAACCTATGTGTGGTCCACAATCTGCTGTTGTCTCTTCCTGCCATCTGTCCAGGCCCATGTGCCACACCCCGGGCAGAATTGAACCAGGTGTCTTCCAGTCGAGACTGGATAAACCCCAAGGGCACCGTGACCTCTGTGCTATGGCAGCTGCCCACTTTGAGGTTGTTGAGAAGCGTGCTCCTGCCAGGCTGCCTGTTGGCCCAGGAGGAGGCTGATGACCACACCCCAGGGCTCAGGGTCTCAACCCCAAGCTTACGCACACCCACTCAAGCCCCTGCAGCTCGGGGAGTTACTGGATAGGTGTAGAAAGAAGCCAGTGAGGTAGAGCCAGAGCCCTGAGAGCAGAGCACAGATGGCTAGGAAGTCTCCTGGGCAGACAAGGAGGAGAAGGAAGTCTGGAGCACCCATGAGCTGAGGCTAAACTGCCAGGGCATGCTGCACAGTCACATCAGAAATTTGAAACTCAGAGGCAGAATGATTAAGAATGTTAACACAGTGACATGAGAACATTAAGCCCCAGTGAGTGGGGAGGGACTCTGTGTTTGGTCAAATGCCCACAAAGCCATCTCCATGCCAGCTTGTTGGAAATGGATGTTGTCTAGTGGCCTACAACTGCAATCCCAGCACTCTGGAAGACCAAAGAAAGGGGACTGAAAAATTCAAGACCAGCCTGAGCAACTTACCAAGACACTGATCAAAATTTGAAATTTTAAAGAACCCTGAATGTGGCCTAGAGCAAAAGCTCTGGGTTCTGTCCCTGGTAACACATGCAGCCCTCTCCTCTGTCTCCCATGTACACATTTATTAGCCTGGCTCCTGAAGCTCAAATGTCTGTGAGTCTCAGAAACAGCCATAAAAATAGCAACACAGGAGTCTTTCATATGTCAGAAAAGGTTAATTATGAATTACTGGGTTTGAAAAAGAGTTTGCGGAAAAGTTGCCTTAAATGCATGTAGAAAGAAATCTGACCGTAGTAACAGTAGTGACGATAACCAGACACTCTGCAGTTTAAGTACCTTATAACTCCGCTCTCTCTATTACCTGTGAAGTAGGTACCATCAGTGCATCCTCGCTTTAAGGATGAGAGAAAGTTATATGTTCTGTTCTAGGTCATGCACTTGGTAAGTCTGTCTGACTTCATGGTCTACATTTGCTAATCTTTGTATTTTTGCAGCCGCCAAATGAAGAACAAAGCATCACATAAATAGGGGCAGCAAGGTGGCACGAGGCATGATTTGCTTGGAAAGAGGACAGTGGTATAAACACCGCCTGTGATACTCCTGTTCCTAATGAAGTAAATGAGGCGTTTATGACTCAGGTGTGGTTTGTGATGCTCTACAAGCAGAGATTCAGAGCTAACTTGGTAGAGTAAAGGCCCCCCCTCCCTTTCTCCTGACACAGTTAGAGACCGTAACTCTGAAGCAGAGAAATAAACGTGCACCAGTGCTGAGCTTCCACAGGGTCTTGTGGGCCTTGGGCTGCACACTTTGGAGCAGTGGCGTCACCAGAGTGTGGAGCCTCACCACGCTGGAGAACAGGCAGAAAGAACAGAGGCGGTGTGTCTTGTTTCTCCCAAGAAAAATGATCTGAAAGTGATGAGAGCAGAAACTGGGTCCTCACCCCTGCGTCAGTACCGCAGAACTGTCCGCTCCCCTGGCCCCCAGTTCCTAGCCGGGTGTTGTCTCCTCTTTGTCACCAGACAGGCAGACTCCCCCCAATAGAAGACTTCTTGTGCCAAGGTAATTAACATGATACCAGCCTTCGGTCCTGGGAAATGGAGCATATAATTGTGTCTTCTTTACTGATTCACTTCACTAACCAAGAGTGTATCCCATTACTTTCAAATATAAATGAGATTCTGTCCTGGGACAGAATCCTGTACCCTTGTTCTGAAAAGCCACCCTCAGAGATGGCCCCAAGCAGGAAGATGTTTTACTTTGTCTTCATTTTGTTCTTCATTGTGGCTCAACTGCTGTCAGGTAAGTGAACATGGGAGGATTCTGAAGAGGCCGATCGGAAAGCTTGATTTTTCTGTGCACCAGCCCAAAACTGAGAGTAAAATCCAGATCCTCACAGTGCTTTTCCCAGAAATTTATTGGATCTGCAGTGACACGTTTTTGGAATCAGATGCGTATGCCACCTCTGCTTCTCCATCTTCTTCTTTCCTGCTCCTCCTCTTCCTTCTGTTTTTCTGCGTGTGGCTTGGTCTTGCTGGTTACTAAGCTGCTGTCCTGGCAATAAAATTTCAGTTCTGTCTCCTGCAGATCCGATGTTCCATGTGACAGGTGAGAACACTTTTTAGCAAGGTTATTTCCTCCACTGCATTCACTTCTAAAGTCTCTTTTATTTTACATTTAGGGTGCCAGGCAGGACTTGACTATTCCCCATCATTTCCAGCAGGTAAGTTACACACCTTCTATGCCATTTTTTCTTTTCTCTTAGGAACTCTGGCCCTGTTAGTTATCTCTGATTACGGGGCCACGGTGGAGTCACAGCAGTGAAAGAGGAATTGCTTGAATCCTGCCCTACCAACTCTACCTTGTGGTATGAGGAGGATCAGGTACTGTAGCGAGAATGGCTGCATGCAAACTCATCACTGCAAAAAAGCTCTTCACAATGAACAGCCCCCAGGTATTTTTCTGTGGGGTCATCTTATCCAGGTTACTCATTTCTAACCTGTGAGACGGAACAGTATTTTTTATAGCATCTGGGCTCAGCGCAGTATAAACAGAATTGAAAAGAGGATACTTGGGTAATTGTAGACAATGTTGCGATGAGTTCAGATGCATTTCAGGGTGAGGAATACGAAGGGTGACTTAACCAGGGACTTGGTTAACCACGACACCTGGACTGGGCAGTTTCATCTTCAGGATGACCCTGTGAGATGGGTACTATTATAACTCAAATATTCGAATATGGATGATTTCATTTGATCACTAAACCAGTGAATGTCCAGAGGACACATGGGAGAGCCGAGATAGGTAATCTACTGAGCACACCCAGCCATCTCCAGACAGAGAAAGGAACTGAGCCTAAAACTCTTCACTTTGTCTTCAAGAAACAATCCATAAATACAAAATATCCTCTTATTTACCTTTAAGAAACTTTCGTTTCAGGCAGGTATCTTTGTAGGTCTATACCACATACATTATTTTATCTGCTTGTTGTTTGCTTTTATCCCATGTGAGTCTGAACAGTGGGAGAGCAGGGACTGTGGTTATTTCTTGCTTATAACTCTCTCTGACTCCATACTACAAAGAACAGAGTTTCTTTTCTTTTTTTTGTTTCATTAAGTTTATTGGTACTTTTTAGATATACAATGATATTCATCACTGAGAATTTGTACCCTTAAGTGATATACCTTGGTTCTTATTTTTTCTCCATTCCCCTGTTCTCCCTTCAACCCCTCCTCCCCTCCCTATTTACAAAGGCTTTGTTTCCATGTTTTCCTTTTCTCATATTTTTTTCCATTCCTTCCTTTCCTTTTCCCTACCCCTCCCAGTTCCCCTTCACTTTTAGACCTTTTCTTTACAAAGCCTGTGATAGTCTTGAAAAGAGTCTTCCTAATCACATGTGTGACGCTTCTCTCTCTGGGGGGCCTTCTACCTGCTCCCCTTCGCCACAGACCTCCAGGGATGCTGTCTCAGCAGCTGCTTCTCCACAGGTGAGCACAGCGCTTGTGACACGTGCAGGCTTGGTCGGGGAAAGTGCAGAAGGATGTGCCTGGAGCATGAGAAAGTGGAAGGCAACTGCATGCTGAACTTTTTCTGCTGTCGAGAGAGGATCTGAGTCACCAGGCCCAGCCCGGTTCTGCTCCTTGGCCTTCAGAGCAGGCCTGATGGAGATTCAAGGAAGGTCAAGAGAAGCTATGTGGCTGAACCAAGCCACACAGGAAGTGAAGTTCAGGGCCATCTCATCCCTTTCTCTCCCTTTGTAGGTTCCTTGTTTACTCTTAGTTTATATGGTCTTCGAAAATCATTAGCACATGAGCAAAAAGGAAACACTTACTGAATGAGAAAAGACTAATCAGAGGACATTGTAATTTATGAGTCATGTTTTCATACTTCCTTAGATGGCTCAAGGTACATTTATGAGTACTCACAAAGGGCAGTACAATATTCATATTTGAAAAAAATGTGGCCCAGCCAGGTTACCCTTCCCTCCGAGCTCTGCCTTAGAGCCAGCGTGCATCTGCCTGTCATGTACTGTGCTTCTGCCGGTACGCATTAATGTGCATAGAATAATCAATAAATGGAAACAGTATATACATCTATAATAACTTGTAATTCTATAGAATAATTTTTGTCTATCTACTTCATTTTTGTATGGTTATATATATTAATATTCATTGATTCTAGTGCTTATGATGCATTTTAAAATAACTCCTGTATATTTGGCAACACCTGTAATAAATTTTGCATCTGTCTTACTGTGAAAGAAATGGTTAATTTAAAATATTCAGCACAGAGGGAACAGAAATTACTGTACAACTTTTCTGTATTAATTTGTAGCTTCACAAAATATATATAAAATTTACTAGTCACGGGACCTAAACTAAATTGTGCGTTTTTAACATGGGAGTCTGAAAAATATTTTGTATAAAATCTGGCCTATTTTTTTCACACTCAGATTTATTCTCTGTCCATCCCTGCTTGGCTTTATAACCCTGGCACTATTCTCTGCCAAGCATGCTCTGCAGGCCTCCTGACTTCTGCTGGTCAATATGAGTGTTGGTAAGAAAAGTGTCAATGGTTCATCCATCACAATGAACCTGCTTTAATGCCAATGTGTACCTGGCAGTCCACTGCAGGCACAGCTCCTGCCTTCCAGTCCCTTCTCCTGGGTTTGCACGGAATCCAGGCTCTCCTTGCCCTAACGGTTGGTGTTGAAAAGTCTGCTGTGATTCTGATGGGCTTTCCTTTGCATGTGATTTGTTTCTTTTCTCTTACTGCTTGCAGTATTTTGTTCTTCTGTTGGGTTTCTGGGATCTTGATTATTATATGTCTAGGTGTAGATTTTTTTTTCTTGTGGCTAGTTGGGGTCCTATATGCCTCAGTTATCTGTATATCAAATTCTTCCCCTCTGTTTGTGAAGTTTTCTGTTATTAATTCTGTGAACAGCTTTTTAAAGTCATTTGTATTTTCTCCTGCTACTTCATGGATTCCTATCAGTCTTATGTTATTCTTCTTTGCGTCATCTAGGAGTTGTTGGATCGATTTGTCATGATCCCCTACTGGTTTTAAGAGACCTCTCTTTTCACGGTCACTGACTGCAATCTTATCTTCTATATCTGAGAGTCTATCTTCACATTCTTTTATTCTGTTGCATACACTTTCAATGGAGTGTTTAATCTCCTGGATATCTATTTGAATCTGTTTTATGGATTCCATTTCTTTCTACGTTGGGCGTGTATTGTTTCCATTTCTTTCTTATGCTGGGCCTTCATGGCTTCTATTGTGGTCCTGAACTCATGTATTTTTTTGTCAGTTTCTACTCTAGAGTCTCGAATCACGACTTTCATTTTGCTCACTATCTCTATGGTTATCTGGGAAATTATTTCTGTTTTAAATTTTTCTAGAGCCTGATTGATCTCTTTGGTTACTTCCTGTGCCTTAAGTTCAGGGTGTCCTGGTGGTTCACTATCAGCCTTTTCATCCTCATTTGCCCTACTGTTTGCCATTGGTGAACTGGAACTCTGTCCTTGTGTCTTGCTTAAGTGTTTTCTCATTTTTATTTTTGTTGTCAGGCTGTCCTTGGTTTAATCTCTGGGTTATCACCCCTCTCATCAGGACGTTCTCTCCTGCACTTCCCCACTGCGGACAGCAGGGGACATGCCAACCTGATTTTTCAGACCAGTCTGAGCACAAGCTTGGGGCTGGGCCAGTAAGTAGGGCACAGGCAGCGACTCAGGACAACAGGAACTTGATTTTTTGCAAGACCTCTCTGAAGGTGGCTCCCTCTTGAAAACTTAGGACAGCATTTAAACTTAGAAATTTATTCTGCTTCCTGTCCTGAGGTCTCAGGTGGAGGTTTTGCTGGACTTCTCCTGAAAGATTTTCACAAATACAAAGAAATAACTTTTCATGATCTAGATTAACTATATATTTTTAGGCCTCATGTAATAGTTTAGGAAGAATTATAATGCTTATGCGCACAGTATTAGAGGAGTTACGGCATAAAACATATAGCATGCTGTATTTAATTTGCAGATTCATAATTGTATGTGTGGAACCAAGTGGACACAGCTCAGAGATGGCACTTGGGTTTTTTCTTTCCTTCATGTGATGACTGCAAGGATGACAATACAACAGGGGATCCTGAAATATGTCAGGCAGTAACTCTTTCCAAGAAGAAGAGAAAACAATGAATCCCTAAGTCTTAGTGCCAGAGATTCCTGCAGACTCTCGTCCCCACCAGCCCAGTACATGATGCAGGGTTGAAGCAAAACTTAAGACAGAGTTAAAGAGAAAGTATGAACTGGGATGACCAATGCTCCTTTGGCAAAAGGTCCTGGCCCCTCTTTTCCACTGAAGTTTTTATTATTCATCAATCAGGGTAAAGGTGTAATACCTGTATAGATGTACGGTATGTGAATTTGCCATGGAGACTAATGCAGGCAAGGCTTTAAAGAGAAGTCAAAGTGTTTTCAAAACAGTAACAGAATAGACAAAATACATAGTTGTAATTGGAGCATTGTCCTTCAAACTATGAAGGCACTGACTGTGGGAATGGGATTTGGGTGCGATTCCTCTGACCTCAGCTACAGATGTTGTCCCCTATCAGCCCCACAGCTTCACAGGCCGTTACTCTAACCCCAGCTGTGGCCATTAGCAGGAGGTAACATTAACTTGTGCACTATTGCAATGCTCATGAGATGCTTCTGTGAGTCAGGTAGTTTCATGCAGATTCACTTCTTAAAGCTCATTGAAGGATCTAACTCTTTGCAGCCTGCACTGTTTTCAGCACCATCCGTATTGTGGGCTCGTCTGAAGCCCCTCTGCTTGTTCCTTTGTAACTCTGCTCTGAAGAGAATAAGTCTATAAATAATAAGGAAAAATAAACAAATCAGAAGAAAGATACAGACTTAAGTATATACTTTCTCTCAAGTAAGAGATACTATGTGATATTTAGTCTTGTGTGTTTGGTTTATTTTGCACAACACATTTTTCAACTGCATCCATTTTTCTACAAAAGTATCAAATTTTGCATTATTTACACTTGAATAGCATTCCATTATATATAGATAATCTAAGAGAACAAAGGCAAGGGTTGAGAAGGGGAAAATGTAACTAGAAGAAAGATAAGCCATGTAAAGGGATCTAATAAATTAATAAAGGCAAACATTATTTACATTACATGGGATAAGATTAATAATACCAGTAAGAACGAAAGTAGAGATTTAAGTGGTATTATGAACCTGTAATTATTCCAAAAAATGACTGTAGATTGCATATACTGCTCACATATACTAATACTATGTTTTAAATATGAATATAAAAAAACAAAAATAATAAAGGAAGATTATAAATGTTCCATAGTACTGGAAAAAATTCCTTGTGTTGAATTCAATGAATTGTGGATATCAGAAATGTCTTGGAAAATGAATCCATTTTCCATGCAAAAGGAAAAATAATAACTAAAACTATTGATCTGCTTTTAAATTTTCCAGTGATTAACTATTTCAACAAAATAACAGCAGAAATGTATATATAAAATTGTATAAAAACTGGATATAAACTCATGATCAAATGTTTCAATATTTAACTATTTTCATGTCAGAATCTACTATAATTTTATTTTCCAGGCTTTATATATACTGATATATCCAACATTTATATATTATAAATATTCTAAGTTCACAAAATTTTCAAAATGAACTATATTTGAATTTGTTCATAACCTAGTGAGTTTTGCAGAGATAACTCAACCTCTATTTTATTTTTTTAAATATTAGGTAAGATTCTAAATTTATCTTCACCAATGTTGTGACAAATTCAGGAAAGAGGAACATACGTACTGTAAGGCTGAATCGACAATACCTTGACAGATGACTTACACCTCCCCAGTATACACATTTCAATTCCCAGACATGGCACCAGGAGCCACCTCCAGTTAATACTGTGGAGGTCTTCTAGGCTCACGGCGATAAAAGACCCACAGAGAAAGGCTTCAACCCTAACTACTCCCTGTCATCTAAGAAAGGATCAAACCATCTTGGAAACCCACAGCAGAGCTCAGATTCAGTAGTTGAAGGTCACTATGTCCTAAAATATTACATATTCTTGTTCAGTCTGAAAAACTGTTATGGCAGTATTCAAAAATCACTAGGTTTGTAGAGAAAACCTAGCCATTTTCAAAATTGTCTCTATTCACAAGATATCAAGGACTGTGGTGCCCTATGGAAATTATTACATGAGTGGCCTATTCTCTATGATTTGTTCTGTAATGAAAATGTAAGATAGGTTGGGCATAGTGGTGCAGCCTGTAATCCCAACACTCAGGAAGCTGGGGCAGGAGGACCGCTGTGAGTTCGAGACCAGCCTGGACTATGTCGTGAGTTCCAGGTCAGTCTCAACTACATAGCAAGACCCTGTCTCAAAAAAAAAAAAAAAAAAAGGTAAATTTTTTCATTCACTTGAGCACTGATTTTAAAGCCATTGCTCTGTTTTTGTTTGTTTTTGGTGGGGGTTTTTTGTTTTTGTTTTTGTTTTTGTTTTTTGCTTCTCTTAGTACTGCTAGGGAGTGAAGAGAGGGACTGCACAGCAAGATACATGCAGTCTTTTTTAATGTTCTAGCTAATAATTTCTTGTGTTAATGAGTCATACGACCTTCAGATAAACTCACAGGTATGCATACCGTGGCTCCAGTAACAAATACCATAGGACAACTTTGGTGTCCAAGAAAGACAAAGCTAAAATAGACACTCTGCATGTAATTCCCAGGTCTCTTAGACAAACTTGGAATGCCTCATATCCTCTATATATTCTTTGTCAATTTTTTATGCTTGTATTTCTGTGAGAATCATTATTATCCCTCAGATGAAAACAACTGCATTATGAAGAATTAACATTTTCATATGCTGTTGAATAGATTTTTAATATTTTGTTATACTGAGACAAAATTCTGATGCATTTGTTTTAAAGAAAGCTGCTAAATCTATGGTCAATGAAAGACCTCAAGACAAATACCTGGAGAGTCACGGAGGGATATTTTCTGTAAATACATGATTTTTAAAAAAATAACAATTTCCACCTTTCTTTATCCACTTTTCCAGGCCGTGTTAAACTTTCAATTCTGAAAAAAAAAATTCAAAAAATCTAGGCAGATTAATGCCTGCTATGATAGGGAGAAGGTATTCTGTGGTTTCACATACTGCCATTTTTACTAACAAGAGTCCACTTTTATTAATTTCATACATCTCCCATGCAAAGTTGATAGATCAGTGATATCCTTGTATGTATACGTATATACCTATATTTTATATTTCAAAGAGAGGTATACCTCTTAATATCATTATTTTACATTCATACAATGGAAAATTAATTTGACGTATTTGTAGAGTTTTCTGCTGACTAGCATACTTCTAAAATTACTTGCTATTATTTCTTTTTGTGGGTAAATAACCTGTGTGATAGAATTGCAGTCTTAAATAATATAAGGATGTTTCTTGGGACAGCTTTGACTTCTCACACTGAAATAATACTGTACAAAAGTTATTTGCATTAAAATGTGCACTCAAAGCCTGGGGATTTAGCTCAGCGGTTCGGTGGCCTACCTTGCAAGTGCAAGGACCTGAGTTCAATCCCCGGTACCAAAAAAAAAAAAAAAAAAAAAAAAAAAAAAAGAAGTGAACTCAACTTCAAAGAACTTGCTTTAGATTTTTAAAATTTACTTACTTACAAATTTACGATATCTGTAAAATATGTATTGTTATAATTTGTATATGTTTTTAAATAAATGTTTCATGAAAAATACTTTTAACTCACATATATTTTTCCTTGGTTAAATCTGACTTGAAATTTAGTGGGTAAGTCTCTAAGGCAATTTTCAAAAACATTTTAGGGTATCCCATGTGTTCATTTTTTCAAATACATTTACATGCACACTGTACAATATTTCACAAATATATCAAATCGGGATATATACAGTTTGAATCTAAAAATGGACAACTGAAAACTATGTATTATGTAAAGAATATGCTGGCTTTGATCCCACATAGATATATTCTGATTTTCTGCAATCATAATTCAACGTATAGTCCTATAATGCCAATGACAATATTTATATTCATAATAGCCTAAATATGTATTGAATATTAATTTCATTGTCATAACTTCAGCATATGTTGGCTTGATTTACATGATAAAATGGTTATGGGTGTGCACTTGAACAAACATATCAACTCTATAACTTTGGGGAGAGTATCTCATTAAAAAGTTAGAGATCCCTGCATCTAACCAATATTGTATTCCTAGGAAAAGCAAGGATCACAGGACAGCAAAAATGCTTGAAACAATAGTTCCAGGAATTTCCCCTAAAACTTATACCTTGATAACCTTAGAAAAATGAAGAGAAAAGTCAAGCTCTCTGTCATATCATCCCATGTATGTACGTAACCTGCTGAAAATGGTGGGAAACAATTGAGAGGTGAAGCCACCTGGCTGGAAGAAATTCCCGAAAAATAGTCAGCGAAAATCTACCCCTGAGACAAGGTTTTTGGACCTAATGCATTCATTCAAAACTTCATTAAATATTACTAAAGAAACCTCAGATTTCTTCCCAATGCTTTATTAGTTAAATAATTAAAATCGCAGTTTTTTATTCTGTAAGTTGTATTGAATTTGGTCTTTAAAAATGTCAACTTCTCCCACACACCATATTTGATATTTGTAGTTAATCACACTATCCCATATGAATATTATTTCTAAACCATGGATTGAAGTATTTCCTACACATAGAATATTCATGTATTTTCCCTCTTGTGTGAGCTCTCTCAGGAAGACTGAGTAATAGAATTAACAAAAGTTTTCCAAAAATGATAATATTCACATTTTTGCATGAATGATTTAGTCATTATTCTGAAATATTTGCCTTGTATTTTGTTTTCTACTTCTTTTCCAGTGGATGTATTTTTTCAAAAGAGAACCCAAGGAAAATATCTGTTTCTTCCAATGGCTTATAAAGTAGATGACTCCTCATAAAACCGTCATGTGATGGTCACCAAGTGTTAATTTGGAACTTTCTTTTATTGATGACAAAGAGTATCTGGCCCAGTGTGCATGCTTACATTTTTTAACCATGCTGCTGTTTCAGTGAAGCCATTACCATTCTATTGCAAGAAATTGTTTCCTCAGGGTAATGATTTGATTGTCCTCCAAAATATTTTGTGACCAATCAGCTATTAAATTATCTGTTTGCAGTTATTGTGTAAACTAAACATTGTATTTATAATAATGGTCCATAATGATGAGATCTAGTAGTTCTTACAAGTGAAGTTTTCCAATATTGTTTAGAAATAAATTATAAAAGGATCATTTCCAACATTCTTAGATAGAAAATTTCTAATCATAGTCTCTACTCTCCTTTAAGCTGATAGATATCATTAACATGTTCTATATATGTTGGATCCTAGAGTGAAATATCAGAAGCAATGTTTGTCAGACAAATACCTCAGATTTTGAATCATGGAAAGCAACATATAGAGTTGTTTTCTGAATGTCCTTGGTTAGGTTGATTGGGGAGGACATCAACTGAAGAATTTTCCACATCATTAACTCAGGTGGTGCTTTTGTTCAGTTTCACATTTTGGCAGGTTAACGATGAAGTCAATTCCTTATTCATTGTATTTATGTTTCCTCAAAACAGGATAGAATATGTGCTGCATACATCCATTGTTTTCTTTTGTGAGCAGTCTGTCACAATGTTGGTAGAATCTGTTTTGATGCAGGACAGATTCTTTTCTCTATGGTGAGTTTATCTATCTCATAGTGATATTTTTCATCAGGTTGAAGATAAATTTGGTCTAAGGTTTTTCCACTCAGATGACATTTATGTATTTTCTTTGCTATGTGTACTTTCTCATCACTGTTATGAGTAGATGACTGTTTCCCACACAGATTTTCTCACTAGGGTTTCTGTGCTGTGAGATTTCTCTCATGGCCACTCAGGTTACATGAATGAGACTTTTCCAAATAAAGGATGTATGCATACTGTGTTCGCTAATGAATATTAAGTCTAAATCATTCACTGGAGGCTTTCTCATCCATAGGATATTCATTTTTTTCTTGTGTGAGTTCTTTCAGGAAGACTAAGTAATATGATTTACTGATGGTTTTGCAACAAAGAGAATATTCATGATTTCTCTTTAGAGTGTATTTTCTCATGTTTCCCATGCCAGATGAAGGAGTGAAGGGTTTCCCACACAGATGATATTCATATGGTTTCTCTCCTATGTGTGTTCTTGTATGCTGGTTAAGGGTAGATGAATCAGTGAAGGCTTTCCCACACAGTTGACATCTATATTGTTTCTCTTGTGTGTGTTCTCTTATGCTGTATAAGGTTCGATAACTGAGTGAAAGCTTTCCCACAAAGATGACACTCATATGGTTTCTCTCCTGTGTGTGTTCTCTTATGTTGTTTAAGGTTTGATGACTGAGCAAATGCTTTCCCACACACATGACACCCATATGGTTTCTCTCCTGTGTGTGAACTTTCATGCTGTTTAAGAGTATATAATTGAGAGTAGGCTTTCCCACATAGGTGACATTCATATGGTTTCTCTCCTGTGTGTGTTCTCTTATGCTTTTTAAGGGTAGATGACTGAGCAAATGCTTTCCCACACACATGACACCCATATGGTTTCTCTCCTGTGTGTGTTCTCTTATGCTTTTTAAGGGAAGATGACTGAGAAAATGCTTTCCCACACACATGACATTCATATGGTTTCTCTCCTGTGTGTGTTCTCTTATGCTGTATAAGGGTAGATGAATGAGCAAATGCTTTCCCACACACATGACACCCATATGGTTTCTCTCCTGTGTGTGTACTTTTATGCTGTTTAAGAGTATATAATTGAGAGTAGGCTTTCCCACATAGGTGACATTCATATGGTTTCTCTCCTGTGTGTATTCTCTTATGATTTTTAAGGGTAGATGACTGAGCAAATGCTTTCTCACACACATGACACCCATATGGTTTCTCTCCTGTGTGTGTGCTTTTATGCCGTTTAAGGGTAAACAATTGTGAGTAGGCTTTCCCACACAGTTGGCATTTATATGGTTTCTCTCCTGTGTGTGTTCTCTTATGCTGTTTAAGGTTTGATGACTGAGCAAATGCTTTCTCACACAGATGACATCCATATGGTTTCTCTCCTGTGTGTGTTCTTTCATGCTGTTTAAGTTTAGATGAAACAGAGTAGGTTTTCCCACACAGACGACATTCATATGGTTTCTCTCCTGTGTGTGTTTGATTATGCCTTCTCAATTTAGATAAATGAATGAAAGTTTTCCCATGGTGCTGGCATTCATACTGCTGCTCACATGTCTGTGTACTCTCATGTTGATAAAGAGATTCACTCAAATTTTCTCTGTACATGTAACCTTCATATAACTGATCTCCTATATTAGTTTGATTGTGACTGCTAAGCTCGGCACCACTTGTCAAGATTTTACCACATTGATGGCATTTGGATGAATGTTTTCCAGATTCATTCATTTTGTTTCTTCCATGTGGGGATTCATGTTTGTTGGTTTTGCAACACAGAGGATTTTCACATATATTTTTCTGAATAATTTTCCATTCCTGTAGTATAAGTTTTAGAGTTTGATTAATGTCTTTGCCACATAAATTACCTAAGATCATTTGTTATCTAGTATATATAAGTTATGATTTCTAAGACCCAAACTTGGAGTATTTTCTCAAATAGATAAAATTCATATTGGTACACTCCACTTTGAGTCATACTGCATTTTATGAGGTGTGAAAAGTATTTAATATGTTTCTCATTTACACATTTATACAAATATGCCACGATTAATTTTTCTTTTCTCTGTCCATGTATGAGTACTGACTATAAGGTTATTCTTACAGTATATTTCTGCAATTTTTATTTACAACAAGAATTTAGAAGTGAGAAATCAAGGCCAAGCACTGATTAAAGTATTCCAATTAACACCAATTGAAAGGACGTTTTGACAAAAGCTTATTGTTTGGAAGAAAATTACTTATTGTTCATAATATACCCAGTTATATATTATGGTATTTTCTCTATATAAGAATTCCTAAGTAAGCACTGAATTCTAGAGACTTTGACTTTTGTTTTTCATTATATGCCCATGCAATATTTCTATCAGTTATATATATTTTTTAAAGCAGCTTATTGTCAGAATCTTTATTATAATTTACAAAATTAGAAAGTTATTTGAGAAAAAATAAACCATGAGATCATGGTTTGTCCATTATTTCAAATATTTACTCTTTATACTATCACAACCCAGGAAGTTTTCATTTTATTTGTGATCTTGGATACATTTGCAAGTGTATCTGCAGTATTTTTCTTTTTTCCCGAGTCATACTTGGTTCTAAACTCATGTTAATTGTAACTAAGCGCAAAATTCTCAGAGCCTGTAGCTCAGATACAGGTTATTCTCATCAAAATTGCAGTTAGGCAAGTGTGCTCAATTACAAATTTATCTAAATAAACCTCTTTAATTTAGATAACAGTGTTCCTGTATAGAAACTTACCATTGCTTTGATGATGGTTCTGTCATTTCTTCGAATAGTTTGAGCCCTTTTCTTTTCTAGTGTTTCATGGGTGCTCTTTCTTTCTGTCATATTTAAAATAAACAATGAATTAGCAGTATTTTAGGAAAATAGAAATGATGAAATGCACCAAGACTCAGTATCTTTTGCTCTTGAAATGCCATCTATTTCAGTGTTACAAAACTAGATTTCACCAAACAGACAAATTCAAAACCTTAGAGAAACTTAAGACTGAAATATAAGGAATTGATTGACCAGTGGATTATGCAATGTATCAAGGAGAAAATTTGAATATCCTTTGAATCAAATGAATCTGAAACAAAGAAATTCAAAATCTCAGACATCTTCAAGGAGTCTATAAAAAGGAATTCATAAATATAACTGACCATATTAAAAATTTAAGAGATCTCAAAAAACACTTCAATTGTATATGCCCAATGCCTTGAAATAACAAAAGCAAAGAAAATGCAGATCCAAAAAAATAGAAAATACATAATTAGCTGATGAGCTGAAATTAATTAGAGTTACAAATAGCAATATTGTAATCATTTAAATGTGATTTTCTTAGAAACATTAGACTGTGAAACCATGACCTACATAATGAATTCTCAAGCCTGATTTATTCAAATTTAGAAAAAAGCATAGATATTAGAACTGGAATCATTGAAATACTGAGGACCACAATGATACATTTTTAAAACAGACATAAGAAAACTGTAAATTCTAGAAAAAAAATCCTTATGTGCCTTGACACATAAAATCTACTAAAACTGGATCTACCAGACATGAAAAATAAAAGAATATTCATGAAAAACAATGAGATCTAAGCATTAGAATATTCTATCCCCCCAAAAGAACCTAATTCCTATGAAATTTCTGCTAAAATTTAGCAGACTACATAAGAATTTACAGACAACAATATTGCTAAATAGTTGCACAAAATACTAAAGGAAGGAATGCTATTCAATTCATTTTATAGAACCAGTATCAAATTAACAACAAAGGACCTAAAAGTCAAAGAATAGGAAATTATTGAACAATATTTTGCAAATATTGATGAAAAGTATTGAATTCTTAGAATCAGAATTCAAGGACACAGATATATAATATCCATGCATTCATTCATGCTACACAAGAATGGGGGAACATACCACAAATAAAAAAAATTATAATTCACCACACGATTAGATTCAATAAAGAAAATCCCAGAATGATGCAATTTGATAAACAGAAAGCCTTCCTCAAAATCAAATCTTTTACTGATTAAAACACATGCAGAAACTACATAAAGATCAAATGTCAATATTAATAACAGCAAATATAAGTAAACTAACAAAATCAAACTGAATGGGAAAGGTCATAAAATATTTATGTTATAATCAATAAAAGAAAAAAATTAGATTTTCCCAAAAATTTCTGTTCACTATTTCACTGGAATATTTATATATGATAATTAGGAAATTGAAAAAATAAAAATAGGAATAAAGGAAGATGTCCAATATAAAATGAAATCAAATTATTCAAATGTGAATATGTTATGATTCTTCTTTATAAGACCCTAAAAGCAACACCAGAAATATTTTGGCTTGAAAAACAAATTCACCCAAACGACAGGATCCAAATATGAAAATACCTCAATCAGGTTTTCTAAACACAAAAAAGTGACTGAAAATAATCTGGAAAATTATTCCATTTTATTTTTTTACAGGATCTTTTTATGAAGCTTGGGATGTTCTTGTACTTACTATGTATCCCAGAGTGGGTCTGAACTCACCACAATTATTCCACCTCAGCCTCCAGTGTGCTGGGATTACTGGTGTAAACAAACACACCTGGCCCAGGTAATGATTCTTTATACAATGTGGGTAAAGTTAGTCTTTTCTGTCAAAGGACATAAGGACTATAAGTCCACTTTATATGAATCTCTAACTTTTGGGAAATGCTATTTTAGCAAAATATACTTATGCTTGTGTCACCATTCCTGAGAAGAACAACTTGAGACAAGAGAGCCACATGCCAGTCCTCCTGTGATGGAGTCCACCTTCAGGAAGCTGCAAATTCATAAATGGCTTTTCATTTCTGAGTCTACCTGTTAGTGCACAAATGGCTTCCCTGAACAGCAAGCTGTTGGTGTGTGGGAATGGACTACTTCCCACACCACTAGTTCAAGGGAGGTCTCAATGATTCTTGATGCTGTGACATTTTGGAGGGCAAGATAACAGTGCAGTTAATATGGCAGCATGACTCATACAGAAAACTCCTATGGAGGCAAAAAGTAATCCATGGAAAGAAATTAATTTCCTATGAATCAATGATCTGTCCCTACTAGAATAGCTTTTCCTTTGTTGCTAGGACCCTGCTCGTGTCAGTGCTCTCCAGTTCACTGTTCCCTGAACCACTCCTTACTCCTTGTAGAAGCTGTGTGTTCAATAAATAGCGGCAAACTCTGGGAGATGGTGTCATAGGCAGATAAGAGTTTGATGGACCTGGGACCCCCGTTTGGCACTAAGATCTTGTCTTTTTTAAAAAAAAAATCCTGCCACATAACCCCTGGTCAGGTGATTGGCGTTCTGATCAGTCTCCAATACACCTGCAATAAAACATTGTAACAAGACGTTTCTCGGTAACAGGATCTGTTCTGCTCAGCAACTATGACTTCTTAACAACTTGCCAATTGGGTTAGAATATGAGGCCATGCTCCCACTTTTTTCATTTTAAATTAATCTTATTGGTACATTTAAGGTGAACAATACAATGACATTCATCATTGGAAATTTGCACCTTTACATAATCCATCTTGGTTCTTTTTCCCCCATTCCCCTGCCCTTCCCTCAACCCCTCCATCTCTCCTTATCTACAAAGACTTTGCTTCCATTTTTTCATTTTCTCATATTAATTCCATCCCCTTTTTTTCTTTGCCCTACCCCTCCAATTTCCTCTTACCCATTGCCCCTTTTCTTTCTGTTTCACTTTGTCTATTATACCTTTTAGTCCTTATTTACACTTTCAGCTTCTCATTAAAGAAACTATTTGGTATTTATACATGTGTGTCCTACTTATTTCACTTAAGAGTATGGCCTCGATGTGCATCCATTTAGGTAAAACAGTCTCTAATTTCTCATTCCTTATGGCTGAGTAGTACTCTATTTTATTTAAAAACCACATTTTCTTTATCAGTCTCCAGTTCACCCTCTGACATTTACAGCATGTCACAGTGATGACAGGGAATCAAGAAATAAAAGTGGAGCTGATTGGCCATTTGTCTGGGTTATTCAGACCCAGCAACACACCCTTCTGAACAAGTAACGCCTCCCTGAGACAGCTTCAAGGTCCATTAGCAACACTGGATAATTTTTGTCTCAGAACTCGGTATGCAATATAGAACCAATAATGGGTTTGGAAAGAGGCCTGCACCTCTACTTCTCGGAAGGAGATGTCCACTGCCCTGTTGTAGTGGACTCCAATATCCTAGATGGTCAGTGCCTTATTTCTGCAAGCACCCAACAGGGTAGGAAAGTTCTCAAGAATGCAAGGGAGGGCCCAGAAAAAAACTGCTGCAGCTGAGCACAGGTCACAGTAAAAAATGTCAAGAACTGGGGTAACTTATTTCTTGGTGGTTGGGTCATCGTGAGGGGAGGCTGTGTGAGAGTAAGACATGTCCGAGACACAAACAAATGCAGGATCTCCATCCATCTGCAGGTCAACCAAGAAACTCAGCTGGAGATGGAAGGCATTTGGGCTATGGAGCAAAAAAATCACTTTGGGGAGCATGATCCTCTAGGTAACTTCTCACACTATGAAAACCCAGGATGGGTAATAATCAAA